ATTAAATGCATGCAGAGTCATGACAGAAATAGTTATCCATTAAGAAGGACACGATAAAAACATATAACAAAATGGAGATATCCGCATATATCATTAAAAAAACATATGATATGATTTCCGTGTTCAGAGCACGTGATTCGGTCTGAAATAACCTTCATAAGGTACAGGACAAAACATGAAAGAGACCAATTAAATGATGCAAGACAGGATTACGGACAGAGAAGAAACGGGGTCTTTTATAGCCTACTATACGGTATGGGCTTTTCTCATTGTTGAAGGTCGTACGGTTGCCTATAATTGCTTACATCCACTTCATTTTAACTTTGGTGGATAGTTGTCTCATTGGCAATCATACCACATCTCCTTATTTTTATATTGTAAATGTATCGCAAAATATACAAGAACTAGATTTACGAAATATAAACTTATATCAAAACCGGTTGTAACACCAGATGCTCCGGAATGGATATCCTATGTTCATGAAATTTTTATCGATTGTATAGTAATCAATGTGTATTTCTATTTCGCGCTAAGGTGTTCTGATACCATTTTATACCCTAGATTAACATTTCGTCGTTTTCATCAAAAAGCGCGTCAAATCAAAGACCGCAAGTCAATTTTCTAAATTGCTTACAAATACGTTCTTCTTTAATGTATCAATGTTTTCTCGTTTGTAATAATTAACTAATATTTTATGTTATACACTGGAAAATATTAAGAATTCTTGCGTAAGTATTTCCACCTTTTTCTTTGGTCTGTAATAACCTGTTTCAAATAAAACGTTTTGTTAAAGCTAAGATTTTCAAAAATAATTCTACATTATCAGTTATAAATACGAAAACAAATGATTTATAGTGTATAATGTAGAAATAATTAAGCATAAAGGCAATGAGATTCAACTGAAATCAAAATCAATTATGTCTAGTTTTTGTAGAGCTCTTGTTGGATCGAAAAGGAGAGAAATTAACAGGTTTTATTAAAAATTGTTAATTGTTTTTATATTTAAGTGAATAGGCTACTAATAATTAAAAAAACAATACCTGCTTTGTTTCCCTATAAATGTATCTTATACCTGGTCTTATTACGTCCTCTTTAAATGCAAGCGTTGAAACTCTTATAAAGTCCAGATGATCATTTGAGATTCGACTTAGAAAATTGAAAATCCTCATTTAAGGGCAATCACTCCTATGAAGAGTGACATTCTACTAACTATATTGGCAAAATTTGACTTTTTTAATATATGTTGCCTTGCTGATCATTTTTGTGATTTAAAGTGTTTATTTATCTATTGTAATTTAAATCATATAAGGCATAACGGAAAAAAATGTTTCTCTCTAATATCATAGTTTTCATGGTAATAGGCAAAAATGAAAAAAAAATGGTAAAATTAGTCATTTATGGGCAATAACTCCTATCAAAATTTGTCTAACAGTTTTGACGTACATGGACAATTGGTAGAGCTCATTATTCTGAACATTTTTGCTCCTTTCAGATTTTCTCTATTTATAACGTTTCAAAAAATAATAGACAAAACTTGCATTTTACCCCTATGTTCTATTTTGAGCCATGCTGGCCATGTTGGTTGGTAGGCTGGGTCATTGGACACATTTTGTAAACTAGATACCCTAATGATGATTGTGGCCAAGTTTGGTTAAATTTGTCTCAGTAGTTTCAGAGGAGAAGATTTTTGTAAAAGATTACAAAAATTTACAAAAAATTGTTAAAAATTGACTTTAAAGGGCAATAACTCCTTAAGGGGTCAATTGACCATTTTGGTCATGTTGACTTATTTGTAGATCTTACTTTGCTGAACATTATTGCTGTTAAAGTTAACGGACGACGACGGACGACGGACGCCGGACGACGGACGCCGGACGACGGACGCCAAGTGATGAGAAAAGCTCACTTGGCCCATAGGGCCATGTGAGCTAAAAATGAAATGATTTTAAAAGGTTAAAAGGTCAAGAAAAGGCACCAAATCATAACACCCTCGAGTTTTTAATAGTATTACGACAGATAATATTATGCAAACAGTTCAGTAGATCATTTGATTTTCTATTGGGGGAGGAGGATTTTAGAAATGAATATCCTGGCCTAGTAACAACTGGAAAAAGAATAATATTGCCCAAAGCAGAAAAGAGTAAGCTTGCGTAGCAGCACATGAAAATAGATATACCACCCGCCATATTCCTCTCCTTTCCGAATATCAAATGATTGTCCCCTTAGGGAGCTGTCTATAAAATATTACCGATTTTATATTTGAAAAAGGGATCATTAAGAAATACTTTTAAACATTAGGAAATTTAACTTATATAGCTTAATATAAAAATAAGGAGATGTGGTATAATTGCCAATGAGACAACTATCCACCTAAGTTCAAATGAAGTGGATATAAGCAACTATAGGCAATTGTACGGCCTTCAACAATGAGAAAACCCATACCGTAGAGTCGGCTATAAAAGGCCCCGAAATGAATAATATGAAACAATTCAATTGAGAAAAACTAACGGCCTAATTAAGTTGATTATAGCGTCTTAAATATGTGTCCAAATTGTTGGGTGAAGGTAACTAAAAAAAAACTTCAGCAGTATGTAAATAGCAATTTGGTATGTCAGCACATGAAAATAAATATTCCACCCGCGAAAAAAAAAAATCCTGACCCCCCCCCCCCCCCTTTTTTCCCTCCTTTCCGAATATCAAGTGATCGTCCCCCTAGGGAGCTGTCTATAAAATATTGCCGATTTATATTTGAAGAAATACCTTTAGACATTGGGAAATTTAACTTATATATATATAGCTTTATATAATAATAAGGAGATGTGGTTTGATTGTCAAAGAGACAACTATCCACCTTAGTTCAAATGAAGTGGATGTAAGCAATTATAGACAACCGTACGGCCTTCAACAATGAAAAAACCCATACAGTATAGTCGGTTATAAAAGGCCCCGACATGAAAAATATGAAACAATTCAATTGAGAAAACTAACGGCCTAATTAAGTTGATTAGCATCTTATATATGCGTCAAAATTGTTGGGTCGAGTGTGCTTAGTGAAGGTTACTCTAAATCAAACTTCCGCAATATATAAATAGCAATTTGGTATGTCAGCCTGTTTTAAATATATATCAGTTAATTTTGAGAAAATTTATTAACTGCTAAAATATTTTTGATTTCGAATGATACATATTGAATTTCAACGAAGCCTCAACTTATCTTAAAGCATTCCGACACAATGTTAAAGTTCAATACTGCGTCACATATATATACCCATTCTATGGAGGAAATAACCAAACATTTCGTGAGCATCACTGAAGAGACATTGACAAGAAAAATTGTCACCGTTGGTATGTCATTACTACCACTGGGTCGATGCCTCTGCTGGTGGACTGATAGTCCCCGAGGGTATCACCAGCCAAGTAACCAGTACAGTACTTCGGTACTGGCATGAAAATACGGATTTAGTGCTATTAAAATTTGCTGTCACAAAATTTTGGATATTTTTTTTTTAATTAAGGAAAATATCTCCCTCATGCAAAGCTCCGATTCCTTGCCCGTCTTTGACTATACTTTTTTGTCCTTTTTGTCGAGCCTGCGACTTTTGTCGCAAAAGCGAGACATAGCGATCCTACATTCCGTCGTTGTCGTCGTCGTCGTCGTCGGCGGCGGCGGCAGCGTCCACAAATATTCACTCTGTGGTTAAAGTTGAAATTTTAACTTAACTTAAACTGTTTTTCCGTATTTTACTTATAAATGGACTTAGTTTTTCTGCCAGTTAACATTACATTCACTCTGTGGTTCAAGTTTTTAAAATTTTAATAACTTTCTTAAACTATCCTGGATTTTTACCAAACTTGGACAGAAGCTTGTTTATGATCATAAAATAGTATCCAGAAGTAAATTTTGTAAAAAATAAATCCTGTTTTTCCGTATTTTACTTATAAATGGACTTAGTTTTTCTGCCAGTTAACATTACATTCACTCTGTGGTTCAAGTTTTTAAAATTTTAATAACTTTCTTAAACTATCCTGGATTTCTACCAAACTTGGACAGAAGCTTGTTTATGATCATAAGATAGTATCCAGAAGTAAATTTTGTAAAAAATAAATCCTGTTTTTCCGTATTTTACTTATAAATGGACTTAGTTTTTCTTCCAGTTAACATTACATACAGTCTGCAGTTAAAAGTTTTTAAAACATTTATTAGATTCATAAACCATCCTAGATTTTTAACAAAATTGGATAAAAGCTTCTTACAATCAAAAGATATTATCTAGAGGAAAATTTTTAATATTTTTTCCCCATTTTTGTTGAGCCTGCGACGAACAGCAAAAGTAGGCGAGACATTGGGTTCCGCGGAACCCTTACGAATTTTTGGTTTATAGCTCTTCATCTTTTTAATAAGCTTTTGATTCTCAAATATTTTGGCCTCGCGCATCACTGAAGAGACACTGATTGTCGAAAAATTGGTACCGTTTATGTTATTATACAGTTGGCCCTAACAGCGAACTTGAAATCTTATACAATATGAAAATTAAAGAGATGTGGCATGATTGCCAATTTATTATTTATATCTATCATATACAACTATGCTCTTTGTAGAAAACCCTACATTTGAATATTATAGATAATAAGGATATAAGTTTTAATTTTGAATGAAATATTTTATTCAATAGATATTTAGCCTAATTTTGCTTTTTGAACTCCTGCAATTAATTTTGAAAAACAATTCAAAACTTTCTCATGAATAATTTATCATTAATATATATTAAAACCAGGTTTCTATTGAGCATGTAATACGTGCTCTACAGAATTCGTTTGCTGTAAATTATTAACTGTCTTTAATTTAGATAAACTATATCTGGAAAAAACATAATCAGTTAAAAAACTCTTTCTTAATTAAAAGACGCAATCATTATGAAATTAATACCAACACGAGAAAATGCAAATAGCAATTAACGTCAAAACGTCAGAGCTGACATGCGCCTCGTATCAATACTCGCATCAACCACAGAGCATCATCGGTCGCGATAACACAGGGTTACATTTCACTGTTCGTACATATGACTCAGAAACAAACATCTATCGCACAAAACAACGTTAATTTCAGGGTATAATTATTATCCACGTGTATTTCTCTGAAATCAAAACACAGACTTATCAATTATAATTCTAATAGATATATGGATTAATGATATTTTTTGTGTGATCTTTTTGTTAATCTGTTTGGGATGATACTAATTCATAGAAGGATTAATATTAGTTGACTCCAGTTTAATGAATTGTTCAAAGAATTGTTTCGACTAGAAATGATATGGTCGTATCTTCTGTAGATTTAGCAATTAGGAGTGTGTGTATAACGGTAATGCTTGGCAGTTTATAACCATGTTCATTTTCTCTGAACACTATTCAGGTGTGAAAGGTAAATCTACGTAACTTGCAACTCCGCATTAATTTAATTAATTATTGAACCAAAAACAATGTCTGACGTTACTTCATTTCAGTGTTTCAGGATCGATACAGTGTCACAGTATTCTAACTTTAAAAGAATGTCTTAAAACAAAAAGCTGCAGCATGTGGAAATTATTTTATTTGTTTGTGTTTGTGTTCATTTGTGGAATAGTACACGGCAACGTTTATCATACAACTGTCCAAATAGCTCGATGTCGGGTGCAATGCCTAAAACAGGTAAATACAGCTATTTTTGTATTCTCTATCTGCTGCATCTGTTTAACTCAATTACTATTTCACACCTCAGAATAATTTATTTGATTGTGTTTGAGTGTTTCAAACACCTGTTTGTATAGAATACCGTTAATGAAAAAATATCTCAAAGCATTGCATGACTTGTAAAACAAGTATTAAAAAAATAAGGTTTCCGCGCATGAAAAATGTTTTAACTTTACATATATCACGTAAAATTGTTAAAATACGATCAAGTAATAAACTTCATTTGTAATTTTTCATATACAATCAAAGCAACAACAAAAAAACGCAGAGTAGTATATGACATGGTACACGCATTTTGGAGAAGCCAATAAAATATATAGAGAAAAAAAATTATTTTGAGACATGGCATGCAGTGAAAATTCCCACTAAATCTTAGCAGAACTAGTCCGTTAAGTGTGTATTTATATATAGTTTACAACATTGAAAATAATCATAAAACAGTCGGACATTAGACGTATGAAATTATTTGTTTATATCGAAAACATATTTTTTTACGAAATAACACGTTGAGACTTTTTTGGTAATTTAAACAGGAATCTGTTCCAAATTTTACCTTGGAAGAAATTAATAAACCAACATGTATTCTATCAGAAAATTGATATATACAAAAAGGTTTCGACTGGTAAATTATATAAAAAGGACATCTATGCAAAAATAATGGCTCTCTTGGATTTATGAAGCACGTTTTCATATTTATACACTCCATAGTATCAATGAATATTTCTATCATCATAAACGATTTTTTTTTCCATTTGAGTTTGCACATTAAATTTAACAAAGCTTTGTATTCGTTTTGATAATATAAATTCTTCTAGAGTTCATTTTATTTGAGGGGTATTAATGATCGTGGATTTCGTTGGTACCGTTTAACCACGAATTTTAATGTTCAACGAAGTACAAATTTCCTATTGGCCTGTATGCAGCATTTGTCACAAAACCAAGTATCCACGAAATTCCATTTGTCCTCAATCAACGAAAATTTGTTACCACGAATTTAAATAAATCCACAGTAGTAAAAAAAGTTTCTTTATAGAATGTCACTATTGAAAAAGTTTTATTTCGACCCTTTAAAGTATGTTTTAGATAAAAAGAATAACATGCAGATCGTATGCGTGTTACATGTACTTCACATAATGTCAAATAATTTATTTTTTAGACATTAAAACGTAGAGAAATCAGTACGAAGATCAACGATGGAAATTGCTTTAAAAAATTCCGTTGTGACGGGGTAAGTATTATCATTTTCGTTCAATGTTTTTATAAAAAAATCCTTTGTTGGTTGTTAGATATAACATTAAAAAAATCGGCTGCTGGCTTGATTGGTTCACAATATTCCCCAAAACTAAAAAAAAATATGTAAAAACGAAATATTTATTAGGGCAATATTTATATGCCCACAATAAAATAAATTGGAGCCTTCAGCAGCAAATATGAAAACTTCAAAAGGATTTTTTTAGATCTTTAGATCTAATCTGAATGAGGAATATAAACAGATGCATGTAGTTGTCCATAATCCGGGCCATATCAGTTTTACTAGATAAGACATGCAAATACTAGTAGTATGATATATATGACAAAGTTCATTATCTAGACAAGATTATTGCTTTATATTTATTTGGCCTCATGTTGCCCCTGATTATCATGGCATTGAGAAGTAACAGTTCCAACAATAACTTTATATTGATAAGGCTATTAATTAAGCCTGCCACAAACATGCTGTGAGAAATAAACAAACAGTAGAGTATTTCCTACTGGGATACTACTGACCCATCTTCATTAAGTATGCCATGCGATAATTGCAGTAATAGCAAATCATAACAATATATCACTTAAAGAGTAAACTAGATGATATATTCATATGGCACGGTTCAGAATGTAGCCATATACTGAGGTCCTTGTATTCTACGGTATATTAGGATAAAGAACCTTTAACTTTGAAGAAAGATATCCGACCGGTCTTTTTTTTCACTTAAAGCGTTTAATGTATAAGCAGAACAATGATGCTAAAAAAAATAATATTGCACAGGTCAGAACTCTTTCCACTGATCAATGTATTTAACGTTTGTGTTTTCAAACTCAGAGAGGATAAATAACCATTAACTTTTAAAAAAATGCTATTATTATTGATGTCGTTTACTCAAACTTAGAAAAGTTGGTGTCAATTTTCAGTTATTGAACTTTGACATAAATTGCTCTCTAGCTGTCCTTTTTGCTATTTGCTGTCTCATCTCCTTTTATTCATACCTTTTACTGATTGTTATAAAATAGGAAGATGTGGTATGATTGCCAATTAAACAACTATCCAACAGTTATAATGAAGTGGATTTAAGCAACTGTAGGCTACCGTCCGACCTCCAACAATAATCAAAACCCATATATTAAAAGGCCCCGAAAAGATAAAATGTGAAATAGTTCAAACCGAATAACCAACGACCTGATTTATGACAAAACAATAAACGAAAAACAAATATGACAGACATCAACAAACGAGAACCACTGAATTACAAGGCTCCTGACCTTGAAAAGCCTGACCTTGAAAAGGCACATACAAAGCGTGGCGGGTTTAAACATGTCGCATACCATTTTCTGATTATGTTCACTTAAGTTTCTTCAAATTTTTGCCTTTATTTGGGATTTTTTTTTATAAATATACTCTTTGTCATATGCCTATGCGCTCTGTCTAACAATGCAAATTGTGAAACCAAGTTAATTCCACTGAAGTTATATGGGCGTAACAAACAAAAAAGAAAAAAAGAAAGCGATAACGTGATAGAGATTCCGTGCATGCAGACGAAAAGTATTTCTGTTGATAACGTTCAACAGATACGCTCGAGACAACGTTTGGAAAGCAAAAAAATAATCTTTCGAGAACCAAAACACAAACACAAAATATTAACCATCCAAGGTACTAAGTAAAGGCTTATAGGAAAAGTTATAATTTACAGACAAAATACATCAACTGGTACCGAAACAATTCCGGTTATGAATTACATAAAAACTGTATTTGGAAAGACTTAATTCCTTTTAATTTATTTAATGATGGAATAAGCATAAACAAAACACGAAGGGGGTTCAACAGGAAGTCTTGCTCTGTATTTGACCTTATTTTTTCAGTGTTGGCAGATGTGCTCCTACCTGTATGCCAGTTATCAGTTAACATCTACTGTATGTAGTAATCCCGATGTTTGTGTAAGTATTATATCATTTCAAAGTTTTAATATAATTGGAACTAATTATACACGTTTCTTCTTTGGGCCTATTCAAAAATTCGACTTCTATTCGCGTAAATTGCGTTTTACAGTCTCAACGTCCTAAATAAAGTATGGGCTAATAACAAGGACGTTTCCACTATGCAGCATTATTTCTGCATTTGTCCATCCAATCTGTGATCCTGGTCCAAATTATTAATGTTGGTGGTTGATGTGGTCGGTTGTACTGCTCAGTTTTTTAGGCGATTCCTTTTATTCTTTTTATGTAGCATTGTCCTTAGCGACCTTCTTTCGAATCAGAAACATTGATACGATATATAAAGAGTATATCGATAATCGAAGTTTTTAAACGAAAAATGTTCATCGACTGCAATGTTATGGTCCATTCTAACATTTGCGTTCTAGTGATCTACATACCTGTACTTTGACATTAGATAAGATGGATATGACTGTCATTGAGACAATTCTCCGCCAGAGACTAAATGACGCTGAAGTTAACTACTATAGGTCACCGTACGGTCCGCTGGACGTTAAGCAGCCATCCATCAACTTCATCACCGTACAGTCTGCTTGACGTTAAGCAGCCATCCATCAACTTCATCACCGTACAGCCTTTAACCTTTGAACAAAATCCATACCACATAGCAAGCTGTAAAAGGCCCCGATATGACAAAAGTCAAACAATTCAAACGAGAAAACTAATGGCCTGATTCCTGTTTAATGTCTAGTTTCTTCTGAACCAAACATGAAACCAGGTTTTTATAGAAATTATGGGACATAATGCGTCATATACGGTTTGCTGAGAATCTAGTTTGTAGTTAACCATTAGGGTCTCAGTTTTTAACATGCTCAAACAAAATAGGGATGACAGTGGACAGAAAAGTGTTAACTGTTTCAATAAGTTGTCCAGTTCTTTGAATTTTTTTAAAAAGTGCAAACATTATAGACTCTAAATTGGTATTGATCAGTTGAGTAATCAAACATTCTATGTAGCTGGCTTTTATAAGAAAACGTGATATGACTGAATATTGCTTATTCATTTTTTTTAACACATTTGAAGGCTATACTTCAAAATTTTTAAAAATGGCATCTCAAGTGACAAATATGTATGTATAAGTAAGTCAGAGTAAGAAGGTAACTAAAATATTGAAAACAATAAAGAAGTCGAGGGCTTGATCAAGACTTTGTAAATAATTCAAAGAAAAATAATGTAACCTTCTAGTCCACCTATAAAATATTTTTTAATCGATACATTCTTTCATCTGACAAGGTGTTAATGTGTGTTGTATACAAATAGCCAAGTAGTCAAATGTGTATGGTCAGTCTTGTTGAAAATCAAAGGAACCCACAGAGACGTAATTCATAACCTAATCTGACCTGACTAAAATGCATCTTATAAAAGATTACCTATTACTTTAGCAAAACAGTTCAAAATGTAAGGTTAAGATTTTGAGAAGTCTGCGTGGATTTAAGATAGACGGGATGATAAAGATGGCAGATATGCCACCGCATTTTCAAAAGTTACCAGAGAATCATATAATACTGCCATGACTTCAACCGTACACACACTTAAGTGACTGGTATACTATATGCTTTTTAAATAACAAATGTGATTTTTCATTTGATTAAATTGTTTCCAATTTATTTAATCACATTTTGTGGTATGACACTACCATGTAATCTTGCAATAGTCGACAAAAGCACACTGTTGGGCCAATACTTATTGATTTACTTCCAACAAGGTATTCCTGACTCAATAATTAAAAGCCTTTTCAATCTGTTGACAAAGCGAACTATCAGTCGGATGCTTTATGAATGATGGAGCTGTTCTGCAATGTTCGTTAATGTTTTCAAAACTCAATATTATCTTATTAGACAACTAGGTGGGAAGTCTTTGACAGATTTATTTGAGCACACCTTCAATTAATGAACATCTGATAAATAACAGCAACAAAACACCTTTTTTTATTTATTTGATTTCATCTTATTGAAATAAAGAATTCATTACATAGTTGGCTGTACAGCTATTTGTTGTCACTCCTATATATACCTATTACTTTTTAATAATTGAATATACAATTTTTATTTCTGAAAAGAATGAATTCGTTGATATAAGCTCAAATGATGTTTTTCTTTTAATGAACTCCATTTAAATTATTTATTTGTATATTTTTGGGAGGGGGTGGGGAGGGGAGGTAGTTACATTTGATTCAACATTGCATTATTTGGATTGCAAAAGAGAGGCGAAAGATACCAGAGGGACGTTCAAACTCATAAGTCGAAAATAAACTGACAACGCAATGGCTGAAAAAAGACAAAGACCAACAGACAAACAAAAGTACACAAAACACAACATAGAAAACTAAAGACTGAGCAACACGAACCCCACAAAAAACTGGTGTAAAAATTATGTCAATTATTTTTCATTTTTCAATCTCTTTCTTTGGTCTTAGTTCTTCTAACTCTGTCTTCAGTATTTTGACGTCGTCATATAATCCCATTTTGGAGACATCAACTAACTTATTACACTTCTCCCAACATTTCAGTGGGTAGAAGGGATCGTGAATGTAATCCAAAGTCTAACAAAAAAAATACAATTAAAAAAGAAAGGATGTTTTATCTACAATAACATAAGCTGACTAGTGTATGATTTTCACCTTTTTGCTTTATGGCTAGAATATCAATATTCGAGCCACTGGATGTTAAGCAACCAACAATCAATCAATCAATATTTGACTGATTAGTGTTTATTATTACCGTACGGTATATATGGTATATAAAGGCAAAAAGGGAGGTTTAATCCCACCACCTTTTGTGTCGGTATCAAGTAAGGCTATCTGGACCATGTGTTGTTTGTTGGTCTTCTTTCTTACGTCTTTATCCTCGGAGGAGTCAGGTGCTTGTGGTTCGTGGGGTCTGTTGTAATGTCCACTATCTTTCCTGTCGTCCTTTTATGTAAATCGGAACAATCGGAAACATAGAAATGTATAATCACAAAATACTAGTTGAATACATTCATTTGACTAAAAAATGAAAACAGTATTTCATAAAGTTCATACGTCCGAAGCTAACAAACTAAATACCAATATTTTAAAATGATGTAAGTACTTGGATAAAAATGACATGCGTAAATATCTGATTGATTTTTGTTTTTTTTACTGCCACCAGAAGGAAATTTATTGTCAGGAGGGACCAAAAAATACTTTTCTATATAAACTAATGAAACATAAGTGAATTAATGACACTTAAATCAAAATAAATAACGATGTATTGTCTTTTAAAACCATATTGAAAAACAGTAGTTTCATACATTTTTTTTTCTTATACAGCACAAAGGTTGTAAAGTCGCTTGCAGATTTCGAGAAAACGAACCAACGGGTAAGTCTTAATTAAAATTATAATTTCGAGAAATAGTTACAATTTTTTTTTAAATTCCCCTCTCCCGCTTCCCTCTTTTTGCATTTCATTTCTTTACTATTATGATTTGACATTTATGCATAAAATATTTATGATTTTAACTTTCTTATATATAACAGTTCCTAAACCTATCAGGTCCCTATTTCAAATATCAAATTACGAAATCTTTTCATATTTTTAGGAAATGTGACTGCTGGTTGGAAATTTAAGGGGAAAGATACCCATGTACAACGCTTAAAACATTCTCGTCAAGTTGAAATCACATGGTCTCGCCCAGAATTGGAACTTCCAAGTACAAAGAGCGATTTGATTGTGTATGTCATAATGTTCAGAGACAAGACGGTCAAAATCAAAGACTGGGAGGAAGTCCAGCAAGTAAGTGTACATATGGTTATGATTTTTCATATCTAAAAATGCATGCCGTGCTTGCATTTGTTTTCTAATCTTGTTTGTAAAAGTGTGTTTGCTTTTATGCCAAGTACGTGTACTTAGAAAAGATGCCCCATTTCACAATTCGATTGCCAACATATCCGGGTTTGCTTGTTCCTTTTTTTGTGGTTGTTTTGTATTTGTTTTTATTTCATATTTTCAGCTGGATTTTTTTTATTGATTTGAAGAATAAAAATTCTAACGCATTGCTAATTTTAACTACAATGACCAACTTTATTCTTCACTTTTTTTAAAATATTATTTAAACATGATGATACCATAAACTTACTGATTTTCCGGATACATTTGTAGATCGATTTTTTCATTTGTACTCGCCAATTGTTTGGCATGACAACGGTTTTATATGTATTTTACTTGCCAACAGCTGAATTTTGTATTTTGAAACACTATACAAAATGTTCACGATACTAATCAGCTTATTCCATGTTTTAGACTCTTGAAGAAATACAAGCCTTGTCTTATCTTAGATGTGTATTTAAGATTACCGCCATGTAATGGTTTAGAGATTCAGTACAGGAATTTAGTATATCGAGCATGACTACTATCTTAAAACGACTAGTGCCAAAATTCCAGCATATCAACAAACAAAATTTCCGACATTAAAATTCATTGTTTTACTTTGAATGTTTTCGTGGAGGAGGGAACAACGTACATTTTATAACAATATAAATATTCTATTTAGATTGCTTTGAATGAAAAAACTTTGAAACATGAAACATCTAAATATTTAATCATTTTAAACCATTTAAACCTTCCTCTTATGATATATATTACTATATGCTTTGTCGAATTTGATCTTTGATCATCCTAATAGAAACGCCAACCTATTATTTTCAATTCATTATTCCAGTATGTTTGTACTTCTATTTGGCAAATTAATTTTTAATAGAAAAGATTATGTTAAAAAAAATTAATGCCAATGCTTCGAAAAGATAAAACAACAAATATATTTTTACAAAAGTTAAACGGTCACTGCCTTTCAACTAAGTTATACCAGAAATTTTTTATTGCTATTAATAGCGAGTTTTCATTTTTAAAATGTATATTCAGCATCCGGCATAGTGTCCTTTCACTGCGCAATTTGTATCAGCAACTCCCCCCTTTTTTAACCAAGGACCTGATTTAAACGAAAGTTTCATGAGAAATTCAGTATAAATAGACTAAGCACCTAATATTGTTTTCTTCAGCGAAATGGTTTTGGTGTTTCCCATAACATGGACTTTGTTATATCTACAAAAAGGGTAGACATCTTTGTATTACAGCAACCCTAGAAACAGCGATTATTTCAATGAAACATTCATGGAATCATTTTACATATTCAAATTGCGCATCTCCTATCCAAGTGTGTTTTGGGGGGTTTTACGCAGTAAAACATTAGCTTTGCCTCATCTATACATAGGGTAAGGGAGAATTGATTTGTGAGCTTTGTACTACGTTTTTTTTTCTAGTTTGTCGACAGTCGTGTTAGAAATTTCCAATGTCATATAAAATGTGTTTTGTATCTGAGGTCTTGTCATGCTGGTAAAATAAATAATTTTGAGTAATTTCTGCTTCAGCTTACGCAAGCAATATAGTAAAATATATTAGTGGTGGAATTATAATGATTTTCTCAGCATTTTGAACATGAAATTACATATACAATGAATACACGAGAAAAATTAGCGTTAAATTTAATTTTTAAGTAAAAATCTAAACGAGAAAACAGCCTGAAAATGTCAATGTGTTCTTGTAAGTCGTATTATTTTCTCAAGTTGAACTATTGTACATCATTTGCTCCTACAAAAACCTGTAAATAATTAACCACCCGTTACTTAACGCACCCTGATTCTATTTTTGAAATGTTGATTACCTAAAATCATTAGGACTTAAATACAATAATGGAAGCAGCAGTTACTGGTATGTTAGTATTGAACAAGGAAATGAGTTCCCTCGAGATCTATCCATGGTATCCAGTCAAATGTAACGAGAATGATGATTTTTGTAATAATTAGAAAAAAAAACCTTAGTTAATTCTGCCACCTACGCAGCGATATAGTTCTGTCTGATTTGCCATTGTGATGTATGTAAGTGTGACATAACGTGATATTAAGGGTAATAATTTCATGGTAGATGTTTTTATTTACATACTATAAATCTGCCAGAGCAATAATCCAACGTTAATCCTTGGCATTCTCCCACAGTGCTATTATTAGATTTTACCAGATGCCCAAACCACTTGCTTTGTTTAATAACATTGTAAGGGGATAAGTATCTGGATTTGCATTGATGAGCATAGATACATCGATAGGGAAATTATACGGTAAAGTAACATTGCAGGTATACGTATGATATGGAAAATGTGTAATGTCTAGTAATAAAAATTCCATTTATGTTTACTTTTCATTATGTCCTAACCATTTATTCTTGGCAGAAACATTAGAAAATTGTTTTCCCTAATACACATGCAGCAACAATCAATTAATGTTTCATATAATGATGCTCCTTCTTAAATCAAAGTGCCTATAAAAATGATGCATATATAAAATGAAAAATGCCAAGCTTGCAACTAATATGTCATAACAGGTTCACTATTATAAATAATGATATTAATTTATTATCAATATTTCAAGGTATTGATTGTCAGTTTTGAAATGCAGAAATTGAAAATGAAATATTGTTACGATATTACTTATAATGCTTTAAATTTGACGTTTGTTTTAATATCAGTTTCATATTATTCATTTTTTATTTCTTTTTGTTTCCTTTTTGTTTGGTTTTGAAATTAGTGTGTTGCCTTCTAGATGTCTTTTAGTTCGTTTTGTCATTTGGTTGGTGTCTCGTTGACGGTTAACCCACATCTACCTTTACTTGTATCAGTTTTACTAATCGCTAAACCAATCGATTCAAATTTCCTCTTTTGCAACCGTGCAAATTGCCATGCACGTAGTATTTTTGTTCTAGTTTTTTCTCAAACGATTTGATAGGAAGCTGTTTCTATCATTTTGAGTTTCTTGTGCCAAGATTGTAAAAAATGACGAGTTTGATTATCATGTAATCATCGGAGCATGGTAGTATCACAGGAGCTTTGTGATTTATACATCATTAATTCTACAGATTATCGGTGTTCAACCAATTTGTATTTGAAACCAAGCGTGCTATATCTCTATAACCGACACAGCTAGATACCAACGGACCATTTGTCGATAAAACGAAAGTAAAAATAATGAAAGACATGTTCGGAACATAAAAGAAAGTCATTTTACCTTTGTTAATTATTTTTACTATAATGTACTAAGTTACTTTTTGTTTGCTTTAGTACGTTACAATTCGTCATAGTGATAGACATTTGTTAGTCAGTAATCTTAATCACCGATTCGGCATGACATGATGTTTCTTTGAAGTGACATTGTTCTGCAACGATAAAAACAAAAAATTCTACGAACATAATGAGATTCCAGGATAATTTTTGTTGTTCGTTTGAATTTGTTCTGCTGCTCGACCTGAAAACCGAAAATCTTACAATGTAACTTTGTCCATACAACAAACAGACAAATTATTGGATCCTCAAATTTAGATTTACGCTGTGATGTTTCGGTTAAATAGATTAACTGACTCAAATATGTTATCCAATCAGTTTTGTGTGAATCTACGATGACAGCATTCTCATTAAGTTTGGAATGAAGGGCATGTTAATAAGAAATAACTTTGATAGGTTTGACCTATTCCATTATTTTGATAGATGTACATTTATACCTCGGCGTTCTCCAGATTTCTGAGAGAGAGAAAAAAAACAATTTCATCTTATAACGTTGCCTTAGTTTCTATATATAGAACATGTTGTTTCCTGTAGTTATGCACCCTATATTTGAGAACCAAACTGTGACGTAACTTAGTTACATTTCAGACGATAAGAGATGGTTCACTTAGGAATTATTTCTCCTGAAAAAAGTTAACAATTGAAACAAAACTAGACTTAGTTATTCCCAAAGGTGACCACTTTCCAAAATCAAAATCAGGAGAAAGAAGTTTTACATTACCGTAACCAACTTACTTACCCTTTTCATTGCGATTTGGACATTCTAATACCAACAAAATGTCTTCACCTTATCCCTGTCTTTTGTATTCTCCATTCGCTACAGGTCTTCTCTGTGTGACACGCGGTCTTCAAGATTTGTTTTGGGCAATTTGTGTTAGGTTTCTGTTTATGGACATTACTTGGGTGGTTTTTTTTTGGCATTTACGTTCAAACCATCTTGTTTTTCATAGTTGTTTAGTATGCTTGTCTATTCTTGCAGGGGCTCATTTATTGATATTTCCATCGAAAATTAAATCGTCTAGTCTAGTCGACTAAAAATTGTCCCTTAGATAACCCTCCAGCTTTACTTCTTTTACTCTGAGTTAATAGCAGAAATGTAATCCAGATGATCAATGTCGACTTCCAGTCGTTATTCGCAGTGTTCCATGTACCGTTCGGGCTTAAAAGTATTATGAACAAATATATCATGTTAAGGAGGGGTATTTGCGAAAAATACCAGTCGAGAGAATGTTTAATTTCGCGAGCCGTAAGGCGAGGGAAATTCATTCTCAAGACTGGTATTTTTCGCAAATACCCCTCAAGAATATGCTATATCTGTTTAATTACACCGAATGTTAACGTTCAAAAACGCATTGATGATCGTGACGTTACAAGCGTCCAGTCGGATAGAGTATTTTTTGGCAAATACCATGGCAGAGAGGGTAAAAAAGGCATATCCTTTTTGCATATACCCCGGCGGCGTTAAAAAATGAACGATATTCATTTGATAACAGTAAATTGGTGAAAAATACACTGGCTATCAACAAATCAAAACCCAGGATTCTTACATAAGGTGTAATCAAAAGCATCGCCCCTTATTTTGCAATGTAAATTCAGAGTATAATACAAACCAAAGACAAAGACAGTACACAAAATAAGTAGCAAGGACATGTGCGAAAATAAGCAACATACAATATTGATAAGTATCGATTAATTAATTGTGCAAAAATAAGCAACATACAATATCGATAAGTATCGATTCGTTAATTGTGCAAAAATAAGCAACATACAATATCGATAAGTATCGATTCGTTAATTGTGCAACAATAGCAAGACAATATCGATAATAATTGATTCGTTAACTGTGCAAAAATAAGCAACATACAATATCGATAAGTATCGATTCGTTAATTGTGCAAAACTAGCATCAGACAATTAAGTATCGATTCGTTAATCGGATGCTTTTGAAATACTACTTTAACTACTAATAATAATAATTCTGATAATATACTAGGGACAAATATAAACTATACGTGGTGACAAAGTTGAACTGGATTTAGCTATTCTTTTTATGTCCCTATAAATCATAAGCTCCTCGAGTATTCCTGTAGTCATATATCCTTGGCTGTTTTTTAAGGGGGTTAGAACTTCCTGGTGAAGATAAATTTATAAAGCGCTTCGGATGCACCAAATTTATAAAGTCTTATTATCATTTGCAGACATCATCTCAAGAAGTACTGTTAGAGCAAGATTTTCTTCCTTTACTTCCGGAGTTCTGGTTGATGGCGGTCGGTGAAAATGGTACTATTGCTGAAATTAAATTTGATATGGATTCATCACCAATAGTTCAAGGTAATCATCTGTTAAATTCGCTTTCAAAACTCAAAAGGTCTTTCCAAAACTGCGATTTATTATGATATTGTTAAAAAATTTAAATGCCGCTATTTTCATTTAATAAAGAGTGATCGAAATGGTTTAAAATTTACAATCAATTTCATTCTAAATGCTTGGATTTAAGATTTAATCATTAATGACAATTCAGAAAAAAAGTTCTAACCACCATGCATCATGTATTTTTTATAAATTAATTTCTTTATTGTAGTTATTACTCCAGCTGTTGTCTTTCCTCTAAAAATAAAACAGCCAGTACAAATTTCTATTGACTCACCATTAACTGTTAACGTTACTCTACAAGAGGATACCATAACGGGAATTCTTTCAGCACTAGTCGAGTGGGACCATCCACCCATCTTTATGAGTAACCGTGTTATTTTGTATGAGATTCATTTGTTATTTACTGACTGCAACCAGGTTTATGAATCATCGCCAACATGCCATAAAACACCAGAACAATACGCACACACAGTCGGGTTTAGAGAGACACTAAAGGTAAGGTTTTTTTAAAATTTTTACTAGCAGAATATGTAAAATTGTATTGTAAAATTGTGTATAAACTTTTTTAATGGCAATATACTTAGAAATAAAAGCTAATTTGGTCATTACAACATGAGGAAATTTCATTAAGTCAATTAGATTTTCCATTAAGTCAATCGAACACACTATTAACTATATTTCATTCTTTAATGAAGGAACCCGTACTATTAAAATTTGCATGTCAAATGTAATTTGAATTTTTATGTTCATTACTATATTGGTGCTTTTGCACTGACTTGAAACATTTTTGAATAACTAGATGATGAATAACTTTTTGGAAGTTTTGGTTTTTAATGCTCTTCGGTTTAACTTTTGTTTTTGCTTTGGCCTTCCAATTGTTTTGATTCGAGCTCCACTGATAAGTAGTAAGTAGATAAAAAAAGCGAGTGATGCGTTCCATATTATAGACCTTAATATCTTTGATGAGGTGTTTTTTAAGAAATTTTATAGTTTGAAAAGTTCAACAAAGATTTTTACTTTTGTTGGCAAATTAGGTTGACCTTGGAATTTTAAGTTCATTTGATTCTTTATCCCAAGAGTGTTGGTGCTACCGCTGCGTTTCCATCTTTTGATATTAGAGTTTTACTGTCCATATACTGCTTGTTGTTAATTGGGAAATGATATAGCGTAATACATTAGGCAAATGAAAATTTTTAATAAAAAAAAATGATAATTACGTTTGTTCTACAGCCCCACTATAAGCTGGACAAATTGCTGTATAATTCCTACTATCACCTAGAAGTACAGATGAATGACGATTGGTATGGAAAGGTGGAATTCCGTACTGTAGAATGTCCAAGTGTTGACACCAAAACTTACACTATATGTCCCAGTGTTATAGCATCCAATAATAATGAAAGTGGAACAGCAGAAGAGGATTTTGAACATGGTAGGCGTATGCTTTATTTTTCTTTTTCATCATGTCTCACATGATACAACAATCTATATAAAAAGTAAGGAGATGTGGTATGATTGTCAATGAGAAAACTTTCCATAGACCAAAGGCCAAGATGTGAACAATTACAGATCACCAACGGTCTTCAGCAATGAGCATAGCCCATATCGTATAGTAAGTATAATAGTCCCTGGTATGACAAGACGTAAAACAATTAAAAAAACTAACATGGCAGACAGCAACCAAGGGCAACCACTGGATAACATCCTGACTAGGCCAACGATTTATCTCATGATTAAGTGAAATGAGAAGGCCAGTTTAGAAAATCATTATTATACAGTCCCATAGGATATGCATTGACCAATTATAAACGACTTACGAGATAGACTGGCCCCTGGTAGAAATTACTAGAGATTAACCAATAAAGCTACCAGAGCGTCATAAGATGGTATTTTTATATATTTTGAATAGTTGTTCAATTGGTAAACCTGGGTGTTCTTGGACGGCACTTTTCCGGACTGCCCAGGATCTTGCGAACATAGTAGTCCACAGTGACAGTTAAGGGGCCTTTTCTCATCCATTTAAGAACAGCTTGAATAGTTTTCTTCTTGTGGGAAACAACCAATAATCAGTAAGTCAATATATATGCACCGGTTCAATTTATCAATTGTTGATTCTTAGAAGTAGATTGTTAACGAATGACTTCTTTATACTTGTTTGATATTTTACATGCAACATCGAACTCCTCAATTAAGATCATATCATTAAATATATATGCTAAAGTATGACTGAGATTCTGCGAGAAAATCGCTAAGCCTTCAGTGTTGAAATAGGTTAATAATTGATTTAATGGTTTTATACGATAAATCATAAAACAATATTTTTTCCTGTATAATATTAAAGCTATTAAACAAACTAGATGTAATTTTTCGGTATGTAGGATATCAAAGAAATTTTGTATGCATTTGAACCTTGTTGAACTGCATTTCAAATTAATAGACTTTAAGTCTAATATATGAATAATAATGTGTGAGAATTATCTATAAATGTATAGAATGCACGTAAAAGGTGCGGTAAAATTGCAACTTCTTCAATACATTGAAATCAGTAACTTTAGATATGTAAAGAAAAAAGCCTTACAAGGTAGAAAAAGCAAAACGTGAAATCGTCACGCTGCAAAATTAAAGTTTTTTGTTTTCACTCACCACTCAAAATAAATTTATACAGCAAAATACGAAGCCATCGACTCTCTAATATAAAACAATTTTCAGCAGTAATTCATAGTAATGAAATATGAGAAGTGCTAAATAATACTTTTTATGGTTCTTTTTATGCGTATGCTATACTTTTAATTTTCACAAGTTAACAATGGTATATCTTGTATTTTTTTTCTCGATATAAGTAGAGTAATGAGTTATGGTTGCATTATATTTTTTTTAATCCGAAAGACCACCCAATTGCATGTACGTTGTCTTATGTGACATGTGTACTGAAGATTTATGCATTATACAAAGGTCGCCGACAAATGATGATATCACATGATAAATCATTACAATAACGATTTCTCGATTGCATCGTGACTATGATAGACATTTATATTTTAATGTAGTTTGGATGGTGATAAATGCACGTTACCACCAGGTTGCCAAAAGAGCAACGATCTGAAACAGAACATTAACAGAAGAGGCTGTATCTTTTTAACAGTTGATGAATAATCTTTAAGATGATTATCGGGGATTAACCCTTAACTTCTTTGATGTTTTTATTTGATGGAAACAGGATCTAACAGGTTAATCTAATGACAATGATATTAACTTAAAGAGTGATAATTTTCCACGTTTTACAGACGACAAACACCTGCTACAGGATATATAAATTAGTAAAAATGAAGGAAGAAACAAAAAACATGTCTGCCAAGCCTTTGAAACGTGCAGAAATGCGATAAATATAAAATGAAGCTTTTCATCCCCTTCCTTTGAACAATGCATATATTGTCATCTGTTTTGTTCTTTTTATTTCCACTAGCTTAACGTAACAACTTTTACGTTCATATAGACTTAGTTCTACCACTTTGCTCTAAAAAATCAAAACAACACGTTATAAATTGCTTGCGTCCGAAGCGCTTTTCTGGATTTACCTTCATCAAGAACGCTCAGAACCGAATATTTGGAAGCCAAGGATGTATAAGAACCGAAACAATTGAAGAGCTATATGACCAAAAGGACCTAAAAATAGCCAAATCCATCTTAGGTTAACTTTGCCTGAGAGAGTTGAAACCTTAGTTTCTGTATAATTTCAAAATTTATAAACGAACAATTTGAGAAAGGTATGTTATAAATCAGGTCAGTACCGAGGTATTGATTACTGAGCTGATGATACCATCGGGGACTGATAGCCTAAACCTCTTAACTGCTCACTATACATAAACGACAATATGGGATAATCGGCAATGAGATAGTTTTCGAACAATATAAAAGTTTACCAAGGACAAAAGAGGAGTGGTCATTTCTAATGGTCTTGTTTGGTTGAAATCACCCCCTCCCTTAGCGTTGTTCATATTAAAAAGTTGTCCCTTTATCCCATGGGCGGCAGATGTATCTGTTATTTCCTCTCTCTCTCTCTCTCTCTCTCTCTCTCTCTCTCTCTCTCTCTCTCTCTCTGGTAATCATACAGACACAGGATAATCTCTGTTACCACGATGTTTCACATTTATCTGTATATCCTACGGACAAAGGTTTATGTCAGTGGCTTTTGATTCTCTGTTAATACTATATACAGACTTAGGATAATATCTATGGCTACTGTTTTACCTTTATAGAATGGTATCGTCTTACCGCTGTGTCGCATTATCTTATTATAATTATACGAACGTGGGGACTCTTTCTGTTATTCTTCGAATGCATGCGGGTTGTTTTCTCGCACTGGTATGTTCAGTTCATCTCTCTGTTAATCTTGCATGGACGTGAAGGATTTTATCTCTCACCACTGTTTCGTATTATTCTGTTAATCGATCTAACCTTTCGAACATCTATCTGTTATCTTTCGATTGTATGATGTTTTCTCTTTCTTATATTTTACATCTCACTGTTACACAAGCAGGATGTTATCTCTTATCACTGTTTTGCAATTCGAATGAAGGGAATCTTCCTGCTATCCTTCGGATGTAAGAAGTTTTCTCTTGCTAGTATTTTACAACCCTCTGTCAGTACTAGAGAGGTAGGATGTAATCACTGAGTTTTTTTCTCCATCCTACTGGTAGAAAATGTTATTTCTGTCTAGCTTTTTATCTCCTTCCTCTCTTAATCTTTTGTACTAAAGCAGAGTTTAACCTTGCTATTATTCGGCTCCATGTTATTCGTCTGACGATGAGTTGTTATACTATTATTCAGTTTGTGTGATATTGATAAATAATAAATTTTCAGTTGACACGAAGATGTAAAATGTGTTTTATTCCAATGTTTCAACCGATATTGGCGTCCTATTTATGTGTGTTTCATGTTTAAGTTAACTTTCTTTGATCAATTTATACTGTTCTTCAACTTTTGATAATTTTTTATATCTAATAGTTGGTTGCATCAAATCAAATCTGGTATCTTATAGCTTTGCATTTCTCCGTTTCGATACGATTTGTACAGGATGTTGTTTTGAAAACATTCCTCGTATGAAATTGCCGCCATGTTTGATAAGTATCCAGAATAAAGTGGCCCTCTTGTTTTAATCGTCGTTGCTTCCATGTTTAGATTTCGGTTACATGGAAGTAGTAAATATTTGCACTTTATATCGTATCAACATCGAACACGTAAAGTCATCCTGAATATTCATGAAATATTTGCCACTGAACGTCAAGCAAGCAATAAGCAATCAACCATCGGACACGTATAGCAAAAGTTAGAAATATTAATAAGAATTACATTTATTTTTGAAAGATAAACTTGCGCTTTCGCAATTTTATATCTTATTACAAGGTACAACAGGTTATTCTCATTACCGTGTTATTTTTGTTGTTAACTTACTTCGTTTCTTTATCTGTTGAATATTTTATGATCTTAAAAGAAAAACAAAATATCTAGTTCTAGCAGTGTAGACTTCTCAGTGCTCTAGTTGCTCGTCACAAACGTTTCTATTTGTTTGATCTGATTGATAGCAGTGTATTTTATTGAGAATAGGATGAAACAAGTACTGTAAGCTTCTCGGTGCTTTAGTAGCTCGCCACAAACAGCTCTACCAGTTTGATCTGCTATCTTTACGTTATAGCAGTGTATTTTATTGAGAATGTGATGGCACATCGCCAATTAAACAATATCATTACATATGCGCAACAATTACGATTGAGAGACGACAATCTTGTTGTTATTACCTAATCAAACTTCATGAAGACAAAATATACTAATCACAACCAAACTGCCTACATAAAGAGGAGATGATTGCTACTTTGTGTACGCATTTTTTTTTTTAAATAATCAGATATTATGCAGAATATTTTAATAAAAGCTCGTCTTTGATCTGATTCATTACACTGACGTTAACACAATATCGGTATTCGGTGCTTAATTGATTATTCAGTATTGCTTGTTAATTTCATTGGCCGAATTCCATCCTGCCTCCAAACATCATAAATTATGGCGATACTTTTTTCTTCACAGCAAGATTGGTACCTTTATTTCTTTGAAAGTTTAATAAAAATAACTTTTTAATACTTATAGAATAACGTGCAAACATTCATCAAACTAACAACTGACCAATCAGATTTAGTTCTAACAGAAATAACAGCATTCCAGCAGCTTTGCTTCTAGATTAATCCTATAAAATATACAAATATTCAACTATTTGTGGACACTTTGTTGTACCAATTTAGTTACTTGTTGGTATATCTATGCAATGGTCTTTGTACAAGGAAAAACTGGATAAAACCAAAATACTTTTCATGAAATAATTTCTCCCACAAACCCATTCCTTGATAATTTTGATGATACATAATTTCCTAGTTTTATTGAGGCATATTGCTCAAACTTAAAGTTTTAAGTGTTTTCCAAATCAATCTAATTAAAATATAGATCTCTGATTTCGTTATCCTCATATGAGTTATATATACGAGTACGCGAGTTGTTATAAATCTGAATTTTAATCAAATTGGTTCTAAATGGTACGAATGTTTTTGGATTGTACTGGTCTTCGTGAATTCAAATTTTAGATATTTATATTTTTTATTTTAACAACTCTTTTAAACACATCTTTAACATCATATTTCCAGAACCAATTGATATAATGGAATGGGGAATTGTTCTCCGGAACTGGAAGTGTAACAAACATACTGGGACAGTTTCTGTGTTGTTAGCATGGAACGTTCCTTTCAATCATTCTGCCGTCTCGTCTTACACAATTAACTGCATCGTCAACGACGTCTCTGACATCCCAGCTATAGTCCGGAAAACAAATAAAACAGAAGAATGGTTTGATTTGGATGAAAATACTGAATATCGAATAGAGGTAAAATATTATTATATAATATGTTAGACAGCAATAGACTGAAAAGGTTTTTTTTTTTTCATTATTTCATTACTAATTCATATAGAAACCCAATGGTACATTTAGAATCATGTCCTTGATTAAATTTTTCCGTCGTCAGATATTTGTTATACATTTCATATATATATATTTTCCCTGAAATTGTAAATACAGTGAAAAAACATAATTATTGTTATCGATGTTTTCGGATACCGTAGACTTGTTTGAGTTTTGGGCTATATAATTTCAAATTTATTGCAGATAAATCGATGAAAAGTCGGTTAAATGTATTATATATCCAACAAAAAGTGTTACTTTGCGCATAAAAATGAATCTTTAGTCTTTTGATGATTATTTTAATTCTATATATTTTTGCAACTGTTTATGGTATATCAATCTGAAATGCTTGCTGTATTTCATTATTTTTTTTTTATTGTTTGTATTTTTTTTAGTTGTATTAATTTTATTTACCTAGGGTGTAGCTATATACCAACGCAATGGAAGACGTGATGCAATACAAAGTGATATCAGGCTTCTGAACACTACAATGTGTGCTATTAAAGCTGAAAGCGTCAAATCGAGAAAAGGTAAGCTTCACCAATAAACAACTTTTTTTAAAGTAACATTTAAGTAGTGTAAAAATATCAAAATGACTCCAGCAACACTTTGCTGTAGAAATTTTCTTGTTTTAGTCCAAAAACCTGGAGCCAAGAACAGATATATGAATTTGTTTTAATGGAATACTCTTTGGGCATTTATCTTATCAACTGAGATATGTATTTCCCATGAACTTCTCTAATATATATTTTGTTCAAATCATTTTTATTTGGATTATTATTCTCTATCTAAATTAGTTCATATAACACATAAACCCAATAATATAGCACATGCCTAATCTCTCCCAAAGTGTAAAAACTGTGAAAATAAATAAGTTTTAATTCTAAATTTCAATTTTTAATTTTTTGTATCTTATAAATTGATACCGCTGACATTGCATTTTTAAATCATACATTTTAGTTACAGATCCGGACTGGAAGAATATTGATAAAATAATTGTGGGAATAACTTGTGTCGCTAGTGTCATTCTCCTTGGATTAATTATTCTCTTCATTTATAAGAAGAGACATACATTCAAAGATATCATCATTACCAAACCAGCAGTTGCTAAGAGCAACAGTTACAAGTCTAACGTCGGATGTAAGTTTCTATATACCGGAGGTCGGATTTGTGTCCGTCTTTGGTTTCGTTAATTTAAATTATATAGACAAATATTTCAAGACATTAAAATCTTATTAAAATATATATATATAAACATATAATTCATATACTCGATAAAAGATTACATATCCCTTAAAAGACATTAATTTAGTACCATCACCCTATTTAAAATCATCTGTAACATTTATTAAACACAGCATTATAAAATATTCCATTTTAGTAATGATGAATCAAGACCCTGCAGCGACCAATACCTTTTTTTTTAAAATAATATAACTTGCTTTAAGACATGGTTTGGCATTTCATAGCAAAATATCTCTTGTTTACTACAACATGGAAGAAATTAAAACACTAAATTTGTCAATAGTTGACCTTTAGTTTGAATATGTTTATTTCATATTTATGTAAAGAATTAGAACGTCTTTTAGAAATAAATGTACAGAAAACAGATTGATTAAAGTAGTGGAAACCAAGAATGTGTGTCCATAGTACACCTTGCTCCACTTGCAATATCACATTTCCATGTTCAATGAACCGTGAAATATGTGTCAATTTGGAAAAAAATATTTATTTTCAAACTTCACTAAATTTAAAAATTATGGCTAAGTTTTAAGTTGATTTTGTCCAAACTTCAGGGTAAACTACCTCAAATCCCAAATTTTAACCATAAACAGGACGGACAAACGGACGGACGGACGCACGCATGCAAAAGCCGGAAAACTTAATACCCCTGTTATTGTTGGTAGGGCATAATAAATATGACATTATAATGGCTATGCCACTCAGTTTATACATTATAGTGTTTGTATGCTTTTGTTGTTTAATCTATAAAAGCTGGGATAGAGTTGATAACCACAAACGGAATAACAACTACAACCGGTGAAATAATCGATCGAATATGCATTAGATGCAGAAAAGGATATAAAGCCTTCTTTAGTTACCTATTGGAACCAGTAGTTTGTGAAGCCTAAAGCACAAGAAGTTTTGAAGAATCAAAACAAACAGGCCCGAAAAAAGAAAACCAAGGTTCTCGTCATGATCATATGATCCTCGTAGAGGTTTTTGATATTCCTTAACAATCAATACACGAATTTAAATAGAACACGAAGTGTGTTTATATGAATCATTATTCAACAAATTATGGCAATATATTAGTACTTTTTTTTACAGGTAAAGTTGATTATTCAAATCAATTGTTGGTCATGAGTGACGAGTGGGAACTAGACCCTTGTCGTCTAAAGTTCTGTACCCCTATTGGTCAAGGAGCATTTGGCAAAGTAGTGACTGGTTACTACGACAACAAGAGAGTAGCCATTAAACTTGTTCGAGGTGCGTTTTATTTATAGATCATGCTCTCACATTTTCATATAAAGCTGTAAGTTTCTAAACTTGCTAAATGTTTTCATTTAGTTTTCTTTACTTCAAGGTCATATACTCTGATCCTGTGAGATTTGTTATGCTTAGTACCTCCCATTTAAATTATTCATTTCACTTTCACGAACAGCTTTTGGGTTAAGCTCAATATGCTTTTGGACGCGAAACACATTTTTACAATTATTTGTCAAGAAAGCCAACAAACTATAAGAGTTTGTTGATTATATTCATATTTTACATAAAAATTGATAGCTTTGAAGAGAATAATTAGAGTTTTGTAAACTGTTATTTTTTTCTCTATCACTACACTTGCTGTAATTAAGAACTAATGTCGCCCAGATGATAAGTAATCGTCTCCCCTTTGCTGTTTTAATACATCATATTTCTACATCATTTTAAAGACTTATTTTCCTTTACTTCTATGTAAATTATTACATAATGAAAACCTTTTGGAGACGTTTATCACAACTACTTTTTAAGCCGACTTGCTTACTTATAGAAACACGTAAAATATTACGTGAATAATTTCCAATGCAATGCCCAATTTCGTTTCTAAGATGAAATAATAAAACTAATTCGTATCTTTAATTTTTAAATGAATTGGCCCGTCAGTTCTTTGCACTCACCTGCTTCCTGCATTTCACTTCCAGTGGCATTTTTCCAGTTCATATTTTTTTCCTTTACTTTTATAGATAGTGCACCTTTATCTTATAAAGAAGATCTATTGGCAGAAATCAACTTGATGAAACGTATAGGAGCTCATCCAAATATAGTATCGATGCTGGGAGCATGCACCCTTTCTGAACCTATTGCTCTTGCTATGGAGTACATCCCTTTTGGAAACCTGCAAATGTTTTTGAAGTAAGTAATATATACTGTAAGAATAAAGGAAATTTGACAAAGCCAAAATTAAAAAAAAGGATAATTGTATGTAGATATAAAAATGTTATAGGGTACAGTACAACAGCAATCCCTCTACGCTGAAACAAGCCATCTTTCTTCTGATATCAGGCTAGAATCTGTTTTTATTGTCATTATTGTCCCTCGCGTAACGCATTGCGGGGAACATGGAAATATCGGGCGGTTGTTCGTCCGTCTGTGTGTCCGTCAATCCTGTCTTGTTTGCGCTCTCACGTGTACAATTCTTGCAAGATTTTTATGAAACTTATATCATAGGTTTATATCAGCTATGTCTTGGACGAGTTCGAAAATCAGTGCCGATCAATTATTTTTAAAAGAGTAAAGTCCCTTGGAAACGTTAATTTTATGGAAAATTCCATCGTTAGCACTCTCTTGTGTACAATTCTTGCCAGAGTTTTATGAAACTTATATCATAGGTTTATATCAGCAATGTCTTGGACGAGTTCGAAAATCAGTGCCGATCAATTATTTTTAAAAGAGTTATGCCCCTTGGAAATATAAGTTATATGGAGAATTGCATTGTTAGCGCTCTCATATGTACAATTCTTGCCAGAATTTTATGAAATTTATATTATAGGTTTATATCATCAATGTTCTTGAAGAGTTCAAAAATCAGTGCCGATCAATTATTTTTAAAAAAGTTATCCCACTTGAAAATTTTGATTATATGGAAAATTGCAATGTTATCACTCTCATGTGTTCAATTCTTGCCAGAATTTTATGAAACTTATATCATAGGTTTATATCAGCAATGTCTCTGACACTTTCGAAAATAAGTTCCGATCAAATATTTTTAACGAGTTTTGTCCCTTGGAAATATAAATTATAATGGAAATCACATTGCATTTGCTCTGAAGCCTTCATTTCTCTTAAGATATTAATAAAAAAGTAAGAAAAAGTGCTTTTTTTAATTATTGCTCTTGTACTTTGGATAGATAAAATATGTGCAACGCGGTGGGCATTGGAACTCTGTTCTTTTATTTTACTTTATTTTATGTTTTTGGCTATGGAGTCTTTTTAGTTTTTTATATCAATATTCATTTTTTCATTGTTTATCTGGATTATTTTTTTTTATTTGAGTAGTTTTTTTTGTAAATATCTTTGTTTATCACTTAGCTCCATCAAAGTTAACTATCGGTATTTTGCTCCGAGGTCATTTGAATTACTCAATTTCGTAATTGCGATTGAATATACACAAAAAAACTTACTCCTGAAAATAACAATGAACAAAAAATGTCATCCAGTTCAATAGATTAGAATAACATTTTATCATGATTGATGCACCAATTTCTAAAATGCCACTCAAAGAATATCGTGCTATCTTTACAAATCCTTATACCAAACTTGTCTCTCCCATACCGTTGTGTTTGCTTTAAGTTGCACCAATAGAAACATGTTTTCAAATGCCACTCAAAGGATATCATGTTGTCTTAACAAATCCTTATACCAAAGTTGCCTCTCGCACACCGTTGTGATTGTTTCCCTGATTTCAAGCATTTTTAGAATTTGATATGTACTGTTTCAGGGCCTGGTTTTTATGTACATATTCTCGCTGAATTCAATTTTACTTCTCCCGTCCGTGACCCATCTCATGAAATTGATCAAAGGATTAATATCTACAAGGAAGCTTCTTAAATTCGTTCAGGTTTAATTTTACTTTAACATTATATTACAAATCTATTATATTTTATGCGGATTTTTATGGATTTTGCACTTTATTACAAAGCGATGCCAAGATATTGTATTTAATCAAAAAATCATCAAACTTAAAGAATAAATAGGTATTCCAGGAATGTGTACTTCGTTTTCTAACAGTTTTCAGTTAACAGTGGAATGTTGACTATTTTTTGTATGTTCATCTTTTTCTTTGGTTCATTGTGTCGTCTGTCTTTCGGCTACATCTTTTTTATTGTTTCTTGGCATATTCTTCCCTTTTTGCACTTTTCTCCAAAGCTTGACAAAACAGGGCTTATTGCATGCTGTTGATATTAAAAGATACCATACTCTTGTGTTTTTTTGTAATTGTGGTAAAAGACATTGAAGTTATTATATGACTTTGAGCAACTTTCTTTACATGATGATTGCATGTTAAGTATATAACCTATTAGTTAAATGAGACATCATGCTACGAACTTGCATGAAATGAAACTCTAAAGAACCAGTGCGTTAGTAGTGATTGGGCTCTTTAACGATTTATTTTAATCAGACGGTAAAGAAGCTTCTTTTGCAAGTCATCCAGTTCAATAGATTAAAATAAAGTGATTGTAGATCCCTTGATGTCTACGGAGATATTTGGTTTATTTTCGTGATTACGTTATACAACATAGTTTAATATGTGCAACTGAAGCAGCTGTTTATAATAAATATATCTAGGGTATTTTTCCCCCCGTTTTATGTTGGATTACATTTGGGATATAAGTTGGAATTAGTTTTGGCTTTGAATGATACAGGGGAAAATCCGAAAGTCAAACTGGATCATACTCCGTAACCTTTCAATGCTATGGTCAATATATGTAGTAAATTTACACACAAAAACTTAAGAAATAGGTATTCATCGTACATTTTATCTTTGGTGTTTTTTTGTTTGTTTTTTTTTTAATCCCAGTTGGCTAAAAGAGTAATATGAATGCGTTAGTGCTTTTTACGCATCTGTAATTTTTTAATCAATTCTGTTTTGTAAATTAATATTGAAGATTAAGATAAAGATGCAATCTTACTTTTACCCAAAAGAAAACGCATCATGTTGTGGACAGAAATATATATTATACATTGGTTCTCTAACCTGAATAATTCAGTTTAAACGAGGGGTTACGAATTGAAATTTAGTACAATCGCATTAAGTAGTTGAATCAAATAAATTTCATTTAATTCATACCAGTACTTGAACACTAGTTACTACGCATATGGTACCCAAGGAATAACTTTCCACCAGCAGGGAATTGATGCAAGCCGACCTTGTTTATAATCATATTTTCTATTTTTTTTCCTTTCTCTGTCTTGGTTATGATTTTAACAAAACATATTGCTTTTGAATTTTAAATTCAGGCAAGCCTATTAAACTATTACATGAACGGATGCAGATATTTAATTTGACGTTAAATAGAGGCTTTAACATGCATCTGCTATCATGATTATTCTTATAGTAAGAGTTTTTGTAAAATAAATGTATTAGAAAATTCAGAATTCTGTAAAAAAAAAAGAAGGAAATTTGGAAATGTTGATGATTTGACAGTATCAGAGAACTCTGACAAATTTAATATTATTGGAGCCATTATTATGGTCATAAACCTGTAAAGTTTTGATAAGAAAATGATAAAACAATTAAATTTGCCTCATTACTTAAAGTGTTTTCAGATATAACTTTCAAATAATTCCCATAAAGATAATAATTATGTGCGATATTTTAATGTCCCATTTTTGCCAATTAGTTTTAATTTTATGAAATTCAAGATAGATAGCAAAACTGTGAAAAACCAACTGCTTTAATTTTCTTTCCAAAACTTCGCTATATCTGCAAGAATGACTGATAGGATGGCAAAAATTCACAGTTCATTATCACCTACAGTATATGCAGAGGTTAACTTTTATTCTACTGGTCCTTTTGATAATAGGAGTTCACGGGAAGGTTAAGTAATTTTACTCCAGGCACCTGTATAAACTTTTGTATAGATTGTGCGATTCTGAATCATAAAAGAGAAATTTGGGACATCTATTTCTAATTGAATTATTTTTTATAACCCAGTTGACCCTTCCCTTACCCGCAAGAATGTCGATGATCTCATTGTTTTAATTAAAGTTGCATGTTAAGTGCAGATATAATCAGAAGACATAATAAAAAGAAAACAATTAATGCCATGCTTATGTTTTTACTTCGTGTACTCTCAGTCGTTTTCATGACATTTGTTTCGCTGACACAAGTCAGATCCCTTCTGACAGTCTCTATGAACTTTTGAAGAACATGTATCTTGGAGGTTTTAGTATTTATGCAAGCCTGCCAAGTTGTTGTTATGTATAAATAATTGTACTTTTTTGCTATGTACTCTTGCTACGGTTCCAGCTGTGCACTCAAAATACTTGCAATCGTAGATTTAAAAAGGTACATGTTACGCGATATGGAGTGTATACATAGTTCTGTTTGAAAGAAGTAACTGATTTGCGGTGTTTGGAATTGGCGTTTACAACTTTACAAAAAAATCATTTTGAAACATGTATACTCGTGTCAGAATAATAAAATTCCAACTGCACATGTAACATACACGATTCATTTTTAGGTGATAACAATCTTTTTGATAAATTGCAAATTGCAAGTGGTTTACACAGACACGTGCATGCTTGCTGTTCATACTTCAGTTGACTTGTTGGCCTTGTAAATGCAAGCTGTTTGATGAGTTAGCCTTTTTATTTAAAACCATTTGTTTGAAAATACCACACTATAAAGTTGTATGTAAAACACAATGATTTTTTGATAAAGGATTCATTAATGGAAACCCGTGTTGATATTTTGAAATAGTAAAATTGCTGAGAACATAGCGAATATGATTAGCTTGGTTTTCTCAACTTATAAACTAGTGGAGCAGGATCTGCATACACTGTCGGAACACATGAGATAATCCCCAGTTTTTGGTGAGGTTCCTTTTGTTCAGTTTAGTTATCTAAGTAGTGTTTTGTGTTTTGTTGTCTTTTCGGCTTTTTTCCCATGGCGTGGTCATTTTATCTCGATTTATGAGTTTTGAATGACCTCATGGTATTTTCAGCCTCTTTTTAATAAAAGTTTGACATCCTCTTCGCTGTTATAGCCGTCATCATTTTTTTCATGACATTTTATGTATGCTGCATAAGAAATTAACCAAACAGCCATCATAAAACGAGTTATAGATCATAAATAATTATTATGAACAACAATAAAATCAACGTTGTCATTATCAATCATAAGAATATAGTTTGAAAAGAAAAGGAAAAGATCTGCATTACTGTTTCCCTGTTGGATGTTATTGTGATAATCATTGGTGTCCTGGGTAGTTGCCATCTTTTTCTGGTCACATGGCATTCACTAATCTGCTTTTATTCCCATCAATCATATTATAGAATTTTTACCTGTTTGTAATATTTGCTTTTACATATTTCGTTATTATTGTTTACTGTACCTGATAACATTTGGAAATATTTTGTCTATGATGGATAAAGACTACTACACCAACACTAAAATATTATGTGTCATCCACCATATTGATGCATTTAAAACAAAAATTCAGAGGCTTACATAACGAAAATAGCACTTTATGTAATATAAGTTTAGTGCGTTTGAAGCACTTTTCTTGATTAAGCTTCACTAGGGGTGCTCAAACATAAATATTAAATGTATATTTCATTGTATTGTTATTTTTGTAGAAAATGTCGAATGGAGGGAGATTTTAATAAAAGAGCTGGACACCCTACTGAGGTTACATATTCCATCATGGATCCGAATGGTGATATTGATAATGGTGTAATAACCCCAGCAGATATGCTGTCATTTGCACGTCAAGTTGCTATGGCAATGGTATATATAAATATGTTTTTGTTCAGTTTTACCATTAATTATACAAGAAATTATTTGTTCTGTATGGTGTAATTTTAGACTGCCCTGTAGGTTTGTTACGGACTAGATGCAAACTTATGTTATATCCATCATATTATGTTTTACGTTTGTAATTGTAACAGCTGGTTGAAATGACGAATATAAAAGCACAATGAGCGTAACAAAATGTTAAAAGTAAACTGTACCATGACAATATGGTTTGGTAATAAGGTGAAAACCATTGAAAACATTAATAATTATAGATTAATTAATGCCATTTCGTTTTTTATCCTTATTGTAAAAATCTTTTAATGTGTTATTTTTTAATATTTCGTTTGATTTTAATTCTCTTAATTGATTTTTTTAAGCAAAACTTCTTCTTTTCTTCCAGCAATATTTAGCCGAAAAGAAATATGTACATCGAGATTTAGCGGCAAGGAATGTTTTACTTGATTATGATAAAGTTGTTAAAGTTTGTGATTTTGGACTTTCTAGAGACATTTTCAATGATAACCAATATCACAAAGTTACCAGTGGTAAATTACCGTTGAAATGGATGGCTATTGAGTCACTACGAGATCGTGTGTTTACAACGCAGAGTGATGTTTGGTCATTTGGTATACTGTTGTATGAAATAGTAACTATGGGTAAGTTGATAGAACATAGTAAAAACGCCTTTAATTCATACTTAGACCTGGGATTAAGACAGATGATTCTGTAAATCGGTAGTGCGTTTATAATGTCCAGTTTCATCAATGCTTTTTAAGCATTCGTTTGATACAGAAGTACAATAATCAGTGTTACTAAGATGAATTGACAATAATGATGAAACGTGCCAACACAAACATACTAGTGATATAAGAATTATGTCCCTTCACATAGATCCACCGCCTAGGGGTATCATAATCAGTAACCACTTTGTACAAGTTTTAACCCAAAGATTTAAAAGCCAATGATGTATAAGACCAAACCACGTGAAAATCTACATGACCAAAAGGAACGTACAAAAATTCTAAACTAAAGACGCCTGCAATGCTTGCTTTGAATTGCACCCCAATTGTCATCATGTAACATTATCATCGACATTTTTTTATTTAATCGGGTTGCAACTTACAAATTAAAAACATAGTCAAATGCATTGATAATTGACTGTCTACGGTTGCTTAAGCTTGTCCTTTTATACTTTGACAGTCTTTGTTTTATATAGGAAAATTGCATGTATATAATGTGTCTGATGTGTGTATTACGCAATCTATGATTTATAAAAAAAAAGTTACATTTGGGGCCGATATTGTGGCACATAATACTTATCGTCCGTTTACATTTGGGGCCGATATTGATGCACATAATACTTATCGTCCGTTTTGTAGGAGGATCACCGTACCCTCATACAGCCTTGGCAGACCTCTATTATGTATTGGCAAATGGATATCGAATGGAGAAACCTGGGAATTCCTCAGACGAACTGTAAGCTTATATACTAATCGGGGAAAAATGAACTACTGTTGTCTTTTAATATTTTGTATTACGTTTTTGGAATTTAAACAATAAATAAACCCAAAAATTTCAATTTTAAAGGTTTTTTTATTCCTATATTTGAAAGAGTTTTTACATTATCACGAATATAATTACTGAAATCTCTTACTTTTATTTTTTTATCTAAGACTTGTTTCTGTGAAAACATTGGTACGATTACAATCCAAATTCCCTTTTCTTTGAAGACTTGTAGCTTGAAATGCAATCAGTGGTTCATTTTGTAATTAAAGTAGACATTTAAAACATAACTCGGCAGGATCTTAGTTTCCAGTCTTTGGAGATACATACATAGCAAGGTTTAATGTCGTCGCGTTTTGATCTAAAACAGAAGATTTTCATATCAAAATATTATGTCAAAACGCAGCAGTCAAGAAACTGATTCCAGAAAACATGTATTTTTTTCTGGTTGAGAAACTTTTACGAGCACTTTTTAAAGGTGATTAAAGAATATTGATAAACATTTTTTTTCGTTTTAGATATTTCTTTATTCATTCTTTATCTTAATACGTTTCATCAGATAGTTAATCTTGCATTAAACCAGACTTTGTTGATCCAATGAAGAACATCGAACTAAAAACTTTAGCTAATGTTTGTATGGCATGCACAGTATATAAAGTAGATGTTTTGATAAATTTCTGACAGATTATCTTAGATAGATATTTTTGATATTATCTTGGTGATATTAAGTTTACACAAAAGATAAAGTAGTGTCAAATCATTTTTGCTGCAAAGTACCAACTGTGGATTTTAGAATAAGATAAAACTAAGCTTTCAGTAAAATAATGACTGAGAAAACAAGTATTTTGCAGACATACGGTACAATTAGATTCGGTACATAGGAGTAAGGAGAGCCACTTTGAAGCAGATAGCATCTTCCTCTGTAAATCAGAACTTTATCTTAATAAATTTGATAAGCTAAAACAACAAATGATCCTACACCTCTTGCAAAAATAAAGTTTATCTAAATTAACTATTACATATAAAATTACAGCAATGAAAAAGGCGTCATATTTTAATAGACTAATTAGCACATCTATCTTATCCACTTCTTCTACATAACATGGCTTCGTGATTTATAATGATTGCAGTTTAAAAAGTAAAACAATATTTTGATAACTTTTGATGCATACAAAGAAAGAGAGTGAAATCATTTTTTAAAGTTTTTATGAGACACGTTTCTTATATTTACTGTTAAACCTCCTTCCTTTTGATACTCTTCTTTATTTGATGCTATTTAAAGAAAATGTGGGATATAAGTCGATGCGACTGCAACCCAACGACTCAAATAAAACAAAAGATATACAGATGTCAACATACAGTTTTAACCATTAGACAGGTGCTTATATAGCATTGCGACGGATCTTGTTTGCAGTAAAAAAACTGTTTACTAAATCTCCCCGATGGTCTCATCGTTAGCGTAAGTGCCTCAATTTTTTGGAAGGTCGTGTGTTTGATCCCCGACCGGATCAAGTAAAAAAAATTAAAAACGGTATTTCCTGCTTATCTGATTATTTTACGACACATTGGAGAAAAAGCTAAGACTTTTTTTGAAGTTAGAATAACGTGGCTGTATGGGATGATGTTCATTCAAGCAAACTATTTAATTCACTCAATGAGTTAGCGAACGTTAAATTTGTGGAGTTTGGCTGTCTAGTACATTACAACAATGTGCATATTCATACTTCTTGAACATATCCCTGTATTGAATGTGCTGATCGTCACTCTTATTCAATCTTTGTAGTGTTTTTAACTGCTGTTTGTCCGTTTGTGTGTTTTGCTTTTTGCCATTTTCTTGTCTTTCTTTGTTCAAACCTTTTTGATTGCTCCTTTGACTCTATATCTTCTCCCTTTTTGGAGGGACTACACCGTTTAAAGGTTTTATTTATTAACACTTGTTATTTTTGCCATATTTGATTTTCTCTTTTTTTTTAATAGATATGCTATTATGAGACAATGTTGGTTAGAAAATCCAAAGGACAGACCATCATTTTCTGAACTCCGTCTCCAACTAGAACAGCTGTTATCAGTAGACAGGAATTACTTAGATCTAGATAATATTGATGTTCCTCTGTCCACATCAGAAAGCAGTAGTAACAGTGTACCCAAAACAGACGATAGATTATCGCTCATTTCTAATAGACACTCACAGTCAGTGAAAAATACTGGTATGGTAAAAAGCTCAACGGGCAGACAGCCACGTGCAATAACGATACCGTCACTAACACGTGACACCATAACAGTTAGTGTTTGTAGAGAACAGTCAAATGATTGGTTAACTCGAGCACGTGATGACGAAACAACGACATAATACCTTGTTTTGTGTAGAAATGAAGGACCAAAATCATTGATCGCTGACAATGTGCTTGATGTGCGGGTTATGTATTAGAATCTACTCTGCCAATATACGGACAGAAAAATTGTGATATACGGTTGTGAATTTTCGATTTCACGAATAATTTGTGAAAAGGAAATTGAAAAATATACTGACAAATATGAAATGACAAACATGTAATTTATAGTCTGTGATTTATATAGGAAACTTACTATTTCCTTACTCTGATGCTTTAGTTATGAACATTTCCATGGCGATTTTAGTTGGCGTCATGAAATGACAGCTATTTCAAGTCTTTCTCAAATTACACATTATAGTCCTTTTTTGAACTGATTTTGTATTACTTTATAAATCTGTGCCTTTCAGGGTTTTTTTCTAAGGATTTACAATCCGTCCACAAGTTAATGCATATATATTTATCTGCCATAAAAACTCTCATATATGAAAATCGTGACGTTTTTTTTCATAGGGCATGAAAACCATACATGATTATTCCATCTTTTATATATGTATATCTATTACCTCTATTGCATCTTATAAAACAAGAATTATTGTATCTAATACTAAACGTATTTATATATTATGATTGAGATAATGTTACATCAATGCCCAGTATATATATATAATGCTAATGGAAATTAATATTAAATAGTAAAAAGGTAAAAAGCTAAATATCGCAATCGTGATCATTGGATAACTGGAGACTAAAACGCCAGGAAATATATTTACATTTGGAAGCATCTTAATCATGGTAGTATGTCGACGTTTTATTTTCAGTTGTGACATCAAAGTGTTAACCAAGGAAATTTATCATGTAATATATATGGAAATTATTCCTAATCTGTTAAGTAATGTTTCCCTTCCCATGGCGGCTGAGACAAAGCACGATTTATGCATTTTCCTTGTTATGTAATTGATAAAATAAAGAACTTGAATTTAAACATATATATTAAAATATTTTCGGCTGCTGACAAGTGTTACACCATGACATCTTATTTGGAAAATGACTTTTTGTTATGGACAGATAGGGCTGGTATTTTCTAATTTGTTTGGCCAGTATTCACCATGCACGTGTTCTTCGTTATATATTTATGCTTGAACAAATATGATATATTGTTTTCGCTTATTGGTTATCATGTTAAATGATAGATGAATCCTACCCTTGAAAGATGATAGAAAAAAACTTGCATATCATGAGTTCGTCCAATGCTTTTAGAAATTATAAATGTTCATTCATTTAATTTTATTTATTCAGCAGATAGTAAATCGAAAGACGCGACACAGACATATCTTAATATTCAACATATTTTTAATACCATACTATATTTCCGTTAAAAATATATATTATAGATTTATGGAATGATTCATGGTATCAAATATGACATTTACTTGATTATATTTTCAACAGATTTTATTGGTTGCTAGTTCTAAACGTTCTAGTTCTTGGACGACAACGTCTTGAACAATAGATATATATGTTTTAGTTATGTGTGTGCCAAAACTCATTGCAGTTCGTCGATTTTAAACCGGTGAATTTCATATTTACAGCTAAATAAAGTCCAAAGAAACAGAAACATTTTTTAGTGGATGCCCTATAAATTCACCAAAAATAACAAAGTGAATTAATTATAATTTTCAAACTCAGAAAACAGGCTTTCTGAAAATGTAAACTTTCCTTTAGTAAATGCACAGTATTACTGTGGTTTCATTAAAGAAATTATTAGATGTTTTTTGCGAAAATAGTCGAATTCCAGGGCTAAAATTACATCGAAAATACTCTTCATGTGTGAATAACTTTTGGTTGGAGGGTTGTGCTCTGTATTTTTTTCTCAATACGTGTAAGTAAAAAGCCAAGATTTTATGAAAGTTGGGTCATTTTACAAGATTTAATGGCATTTCATGGCTGTATTCTCCATAAAAAGACAACTTTACAAAAACTATAGAAATGTTGGATTAAAATGTATATGTTCATCATTCAATTTTGCAACAGAGATTTGAAAATACATTAATTGTTGATGCCAATTTAGCCCCAAATCGTATCTTTCTTTCATTGGTCACACTATAGAATATCCTTTACAGCTTATTTACAGTACTGAGTGCTAAATGATGTGTATATATTTTTTATTTGTTTTGTTATTTATTATTGTTTTACTCAGGTAGCATTTTAGGCAGTAAATAACATTTTATTCTTGTAAAATGTGAGTGAGAGTGGTTTGCTTTGGTATCCAAGGTTTCTTTCTCACCGGAAGCGATACTAGTACTTGGGTGTTTTATTTACAGTGTCGTCGGGGTCACATGTTGTTAAAGTTTGTAATATGGTCACAACGACAAGACATGTATCTGTGTCAACAATTTATGATACGAAGGCACAGTGTCGTCAGGATCAAATGATAATTCATCAGATAATATATAAAGAGGCCGTTTGAAAATCGAAGTTATAATGTGTCGTCCAAAGAGATGGTGTGTGAATATGTGCAGACTTCCAATTGATATGATAATTTGGAAGGTTTTTGTTTATTAACTTTGCATGCTCAAATGTTAAATTCAAATTCTTGGATTTATTGAAACGTTTTAAATGTTACTGGTATTTTCATTGTTATAATCTGTAACCCTAAACTTAGGTTAAGGTTTTCCAATTTTTATGAATATTTCAAGGTTAAGTTCGTCATGATTCTTTGAAAAAAAACGTGTTATTGTAAGAAGATAATGGCTGTTAAAAACGTTTATTGATCCAAGCAAAAGTCGAATTAGCTGTTTTGAATTTTACTGAGCAAAATTTTTTTTTGTTTTACCGCTTTCAGTTTTATTGATGATATTTCCGTCACAGTTCATGCTGTTCTTTCATATTTTAATTGCTGTCTCAAAATGAGTTATTTGTTTTTATTGATTTACGTTGTATTTCAATCAATCGATCATTTATTGATGTCTCGTGCAGCACAGATAAATATAATAACAAATGTATATAAAATGAATCTGTCTGTATATATATATATATTGGAAGTGTTAGATCAACCCTATCGTCTAACCGTCCAATTTGGAATAATTGTTGATATTTTATTGTATATACATGTTATAATTGTTGCAAACAAGTAATTTAAGCAAAGAATAAAACGATCGTTTCTATTATTTTGTTTGTTAATGTTATGAATAAAAAAGTGATATTAAGCAAAAGAGATAACAAAGGGACATTCAAAATCATAAGTCGAAAATAAACTGACAACGCCATGGCAAAAAAAGGAAAAAAACCCAAAGACAAGCAACAGTAATCAAAACACAACATAAAAAAACTAAAGACTGAGCAACACGGACCCTACCAAAAACCGGGGATGATCTCAGGTGCACCGGAAGGGTAAGCAGATCCTGCTCCACATGTGGCACCCGTCTTGTTTCTCATGTCAATATTATACACGTATTTGAATAGCATACACCTGAATCCAAGTAACATTTTTGAGCAATTTGTATCATAAGATCTTCAAAATTAAAAAAAAAGAATGCAAATCCGACTTTAAAGAAAACAGAAAGAAAAAAAGAAAACGTCAATCTAGATTTAACGTATGGGAAATTTGGCTATGTTCAAATTGTCCCTGTTTTCAAAAGAATTAGATAATCATTATTTTTAGAATTTAACGTACATACAGGATGGCAATGTTGAAAATTGCATAAGAATATACTAAGCCAAATAATAACTATTCAAATGCCCAAAAGAAGGAATAAACAAAAGCTTACTAATAAGGAAAAGGAATACAATATTGAAACCATATCTTACAATAAAACAACAAAAAAGGGGGAAAGAAAAAGAAAAAAATTGATACCAAAAGAGCATGCAGTCATTATTAAAAACTGACAGACTGTGTCACGACAAAAATAAAAAATTTCCATCCACGAAATACTGTACAGAAATTGTACGTTGAGACACACAATACTATTTCCGATTTCAAATTTGTCAGTTCTTTGACCACATTCATTTTGTGTCACAGACCTATACTGTGTCAAATATTCAATCACAATCCATATTTGGACTTCTAAAAAGTCGAAAACTCAAAAACGAGAGAAGCTAAAATCGTGAAAATTGAACTTGACCTTCATTTAGTCACAGGAAACAACATATCAAAATTCGTCAAAGCGTTTGCATGTTAATGAACGGACACTGTTTGGCAGCCCCCGCCGTACATCCCCAAATCAATAACCGATTTTACCTTCGAAAATCCGGTTAAAAAGACCATTGAACTTTAGAAGAGATAACGTGCTGATTGCGTGGTATGGGCGTTATTTAATAGCTACATTAGAGCTACAGACAAAGTCCTGATATAGAACATATATTCCAAAATATACCAATCTGGGTTACAATAAGGGCCCCTGACGGGTTTCAACATGTTTGTGAGTGCACAGCACCCCCTAAACCTACGACGATGGTGTACTTTAAAACCAAATGAAAAGGCCTTATCTCATCGAATCGGTACTAAGGATAAAATCACTTACAAAAAGACACAAATTACCGATCTTAGAATACTCCGGAAAGGTATATAGTTCAAAAAGTTCACAGACATTACGAGGGTCTCCAAAATCAAGTATTCAGCACTTATGTGATGACATGAAATATCATTGATATGTCCTTTTCTGTGAATTTTCTGTTTATAAAATGTTTAATTAAGACGACAGTAGTTTACCAACGTTGAAATCTCATAAATCGATTGGGAAGAGACAAATCTAGGTAACCAACAGAAACTGAAAGAATCGCATGAACTCCAAAAAAAGCGAGAAATTAATCGAAACACTAAGGTTTTCTAATCACGTGCACAGATAGCCTTTGCCAGATTTGACACATTTATTTGGTTTTTAAAAATGCTCTTCAAGTACGTTATTGATTCGGCCTTCCAAGTTTTTTTATTCGATCGCCACTGGTTGGTCTTATGTATACGAAACGCGCGTTTGTTGTACTTAAGTATAAGCCTTGGTATTGACATGAGGCAGAACCAGATGTGATAAGTCGGGTTCTCTTTAAATTCTGCTAGTACCCAATTTATGATGTCTTAAGAAAATATTTTAATCACCCCCAAAAAAACAACAAACAAACATATAATCAGTAATACAGAAAACAAAACCAAAATGGAAATATTTTTATAATTCTCTGAGTCACAAGGTGAAAATAGAAAAAAAAACATTATTAATAAAAACTTTGTTTTTTTTTTTTTCTTTGAATAACATGTTTTTGTTAGAAAATGATGATTGAAAACGTATTTTAGCCAAATCTAAATCGAATAAGCTGTTGTAAATGCTACTGTGCAAAAAATTGTATTTGTTTTACTGCTTTCAGTTTCATTGATGCTATTTCTATTACAGTCCATGCTGTTCTTTCATATTTTCATGGCTGTCTCAAAAAGTAGTCTGGTCTTTTTTTTATTTATATATCTCAATGAATCAATTATTTCTTGATGTTTCGTGCAGCACATATACGTAAATAACAAATATAAATAATGGGAATATATCGATATGTATATGTTGTATGCACGCTTCGTAATGTTGTACGAATGATAATTTGTACAGAGATTTTCTAGCCACCCTTCAAATAATTAGCTGAAAACAAGCACAAAATATTCCAAAAATACCAAAGAAGGAAAGAATAGCTATACAATATAACATGACAAGACTTTCTAATAAAAAAATGAAACTCTATATATATGTATATATATATCATAGATAAAATGTAAGAATTAACCAACAAAAGGGAGCGAAAAAAAAGAGAAAAGCATTTAAAGATACCAAATAAACATACAGTCAAATCATAGAAGAACAAATTTAAGAAAACAAAAAATGTATTGAAACATTGAATAGGTAAATGAAACTTGAATAATCAATTTCACAGCTCTTTTTGGAGATGATGCGATTCCCTTATGCAGTTTTTGTTTGTTAACTTGATTTGTCCCTTCATAATTGATTTACGAGATTTAAAAATCGGTAAACTACTGTAGCCTCAACTTATACCAGTATAGTGACGTATATTCGTCTGATTTGAAAAAAAAGTATTACAAAATACCGAACTCCAAGGCAAATGCAAAATGGGGAAGTCCATAAAACTGACAAAATCATACGTTATCAATCAACGAAAAACAATTGAAAAACGAAAAACAATTGAAAAACAACTGTCATATTCCTTGGTAGAGGCATTTTCAGAAGAAAATGATGGGTTAAACCTGGTTTTATAGCTATATAAACCTCCCACTTGTATGACCGGTGTTTATAGTTCATTTAGAGACTAATTATACCAATTGTGTCTAATTTCCAATCATGAAATGTTTACTATAAGTGTAAAGTCGCATGGTTTGTGATGTATGCATAGATAGCATAATAGTAGGCGCTGACATTGTTGACGACCGCGGTCTCGCTCCTTTTGGAGTGTATGCGATTCCCTCAGTTTCTGTCCCTTCCTAATTGATTTACGTGATTTATACATCGGTAAGCTACTGTCGTCTTAATTTATTCGGTTAATCATTAAATGCACAAAACGGATAAATAATGGAATAATAATGGTATCTTAAGATTAATTTAAGTCATATAAACAGTGAAAGCAATCGTGTTGCTACTTAAAAGTATATAATTCAAGGATAACCCCTATTCGTCGACAAGTCCTGAACGGAGAAAGGAACGGGTTGGATTGGACAATTGGAACAACGATCTCTCAGTTTATTTCAATTTACAACATGACAATAGGCTGTTCTCAGAAACCGGTTGATATATATACAACCCCATTTTTTATAATAAAATGTCTAACATAAAAATAAGAAGCTGTGGTAGCAATATCACAATATGGCCTTCAACAAAGAGAAAACTCATACCGAACAGTATTATAATATAGAGCTATAGAATGAAATGTGATGTAAAACAATCTAAATAAACTCATCATAGATACCAGGATTAATTTTGTATTAACGCCAGACGCGCGTTTCGTCTACAAAAGACTCATCAGTGACGCTCGAATCCAAAAAAGTTAAAAAGGCCAAATAAAGTACGAAGTTGAAAGTATAGAGGACCAAAATTCCTAAAATTTTTGCCAAATACAGCTAAGGTTATCTATTCCTGAGGTAGAAAAGCCTTAGTATTTCAAAAATTCAAAAGTTTTGTAAACAGTTAATTTATAAATATGACCATATCAATGATAATTCATGTCAGCACAGAAGTGCTGACTACTGGGCTGGTGATACCCTCGGGGAATTAAAACTCCACCAGCAGAACTCTACTAACAGAGAACTATAATGGCCTAATAGAAGCTTATAACATTAAGCGAAAAACAATCATAACAGACGGCAACCAACAACGACCAATGTACTACAGACTCCTGAAAGACTCTTAAGAATGCGATGGGGTCAACATATTTGTGAACGCTGAATCACCTAGAAGTGGGGTGTAACACCATTACATTAGAAAAAACTATAAAATCAAATTAAAGGAACTTGACTTATCACATCGGTCCAGTAAGTGCAAACAAACAAAACAGCAGTTGGCACCTGCAAAAGATTTAGTTAGTTGACTTCATAAGCAGTCTGAGAATAGCATACTCTTGTACATTGCCAAACATCAATATCGTAATGATGCAGGACCACTACGGGTAAAAATATTGATGGCAATCTAAATTTGGTTTCATTATACTATTAAGCTAAACCTAGTTTATCTGAAATTCTCCTCGTTACCGATGTATTATGTCTTTGGGGGTACTTTTAATCATCAAGCAAAAATAAACAAAAATTTAGTGGACGAGACTGTCAACAGCAGTGGCTCTTAATTCAGAGGATCAACACCAAAAAGGAAGCAACTAAATGACAACAAACACATATTTAAATACCGTTCATGTAAACATTTATATAAAAAAAAACAAGTTCTGGAATTGAAAAAAAATATCTGTCACAATGAAATACAAAAAAAACCCAATTGTTTACATGTCAGCCAAAGGAAAAAGTGCAAATAATATTCTAAGTTAACTTTAGCTATGTGCTTATTCATGTTGCTGTGGGGCAATTCTTTCATTTAAAAGCAAAATCAAACAACATTCATGTGTTACGTTCTACGTGATGTAAAACTCCAAATATCTGACAAATTCGTATTAGCAGACGTCATACGCAGAGTACATTATG